AAAAAACCAATAACCCCTCATTTTACCTGTCAAACTTTCATAACGAATCAAAACAAACATTGCGTAGTACTAGAATTTCGACTAGAATGGGATACGTTAATCGTTTGCTTGGGACCAATAGGCTAGTCAAGTAGTGAGCCAATTTAAAATCGTTAGTTTCGTATTGATTGTTGGTATAACCTCGTTGCAATGATTGAACAACGCAACTATCGAAAGATAAACAAACTTTGACGTTTAACTTTCTGCAGGCAACTTTGCCTCCATAAATGCTGCCATAAATCTGAACGGCTTAGGATCATTCATTCATTATTATTATTATTATTATTATTATTATAGTCACTTTAACACTCTAGGGTCATTCGTGACTTGTCCGGGGGTGAGATTTGAACTCGTGACTTTGGCGTGAGAGGTATGGATGCTAACCACTACGCCGGGGTCGCCCCGGCTTAGGATCAAGTAAAGCCCGATTCAAAGTAAATTTGGACGCATTCAAGTGATCATAACTCAAGAATCAAACAACATGCACGGTTGATCAAAACGTCAAACATAAGGGTATTTATTCAGCTTTCAAACGATATATAACAAGTTATTACATTTCACCGATTCGAACGAACTGTCGCACTTTACTTGTGATCGATGCCATCATGATCTGCACAGTCGCTGGTGACACTGTACCGGCGAACTTATTCCACTTTAAACGCATTTGTTGTGCATGTGTCACTTCTTTACCGCTTCCTCGAAGTTGTCGCTAGACAATTTCCCAATATTTTTCGATCGGTCTGAACTCAGGGCAATTCGGAGGATTAATCTCTTTGGCGACGAAATTAACATTGTTTGCAGCATACCATTCTAGTACCTCCTTAGAGTAGTGACAGCTGGCTAGATTCGGCCAAAACATAACGTTGGTCTTGTGTTGCCGAATGAAGGGTAAAATCCGCTTTTTCAGACACTCTTTAATGTAAACCTTCGACGTCATTGTGTGAGATGTGATGAAAACCTTGGTTTAAAGGCTACAACTGCAGATTCCTTGCCAAATCATTAGTTTTAGAGCAAACTTATCAGCAAAAACAAATTTATACCTGGAAGGGACATCTCCACTAAATTTTGTTTCAGGGAGCGATTCGGATGTTTACTGGCACAAAAAGACTTATACCCTTCTCTTGAAAGGATGTTACGCACGGTGGAAAAGTTTTAATCGTATTTCTTTGCCAAATCACGTATGGAGACACCTGGGTTGCTTTTCACGTACCTCAACACCTTTCTCCTGAGCTCTTTGTCCCTAGTGCCACTTTTATGATAGATGCGCTGTGCTCTATCCACACTCAGAGTATCCTTGTAACGTTTGATAACAAGACTCACCGTTGACTTTGGGAATTTTAACACTTACTATTTTTAAGGCAGACCACGAAGGGTTCTCTAGATGTTTGTGCACAATTAATTTTCTTTTCTCAAGTTCCAGGATCCGTAATTTCGGGATGCGTCGATCAATCGAAAAAAAAACCTTTCACTAATTTCTTCGTCAATGAAACATCAACAAATGCCTTTCAAACGTTTTTTGTTCCAAACCCCAGGGGCGCGGTGGTGTATTAAACCGTGCGTCCAAATTTACTTTGAATCGAGCTTTAGAATGGCTTCAGATAAATACAATTCAGTCAGGAAGTTTTCTTCATAAAAGCCATTTTAAAATCTTATGAATTTGTTAGGGATTTTATTAAAGCAAATCAACTTCTTCACAAATGGCCCATGAAAACCAACTTTAAAGCCACCGCCATATTACAATTATTTCGTTTGATTTTTAAAATCTTCGTTTTAAATGTGTATTTCCTTGGATACAACTTTATTTTGGTCAATTTAGTAAGATATTTAAAATACGATAATCATAAAAAAATATCTCGACTGAACTTTATGATTAATTTGTGAATAACTATTTTTTTTTCTCTATTAACAATAATGAGCAAAATCGTTGTTTTCCGAGGGTGGGCTTTTTTTTCGATATTTTCAAGTACATTTCACATAAGATTTAATATGGCACCTAAAACTAGGCCACTTTATGAGAACAATTTTAAATAATTTTGGAAATTGAATTGGATTTTTATGTGATAAGATTATATTTCAATTATTTTGTTAAGATCGGATGGTATTTATGAAGCCTTTTCTATCTTAATTGATGATTGTTCGAGTGGATTCAGCAAGCTAGAGAAAATGGCTTTAAAAGGGTTTTCATTGTTGACAAATAGCTATTATTGTAGTTTAAATACGGGTTCCAAATGGTTTTCTATACGTTCGTCATACAAACTTTTTGCAGTGAATCAATGTTGAAGAGCTTCGAAAATATACCCTTAGAACCTTCTCCAGGATAAGCCACCTATACATATTCTAGTCTTAATGAGGTTTTGGTGGATGCATCAATGGCAAAGTAGCCTTGACCCAGGGTTTTATGAATGTTGTTTTATAGTAGTTTTGAATTACTTCATAAAACTTAAAATGTTACTTGGGGCCTTTCTAACAATTTTGGATACTTTTTCCCAGTCTTTCGCAAACTTTGTAACGGAATCCATTGCCTTTACATGTTTCCGTAAATATGCTTTGGTCAGGGCCCAAAATGTTTCGATTGGCCTGGCCTGGGGACAGTTTGGCGGATTTATCTCCTTGGGTACGAATTGGAGCTTGTTGGCTTTATACCAGGCTACCGTGTCCTTGGAATAATGAACCAAAACAGTACTGAAGCGTCGTGTTTGCGGATCATGGGACACAGACGCTTGTTTAAGCACTCACGTACGTAAACATCGGTTGTCATTGTCTCCGTTGTCATAAACGGTTTGGAAAGCATACCGCACTCACAAATGGCTTACCAAACCATAGTCTTTTTACTGATTTTTTCAACACTTCGATTTTTTCGATTTCGTCAACACTTCGGTCATCAAGAACGGTGTAGTACTGAGCACCAGGAAGAGTTTTGTAATCAAATTGAAGGTATGATTCATCGTCCATAATCACGCACACCGATTTTCCGCACAGCAATTGGTCGTATAACTTCCGAGCCCTCGGTTTGACGGATGCGGCTTGTTTTTCACTTCGTTTTGGCTTTTTCTGCTTCTTATACGTCTTTAGATCCATTTTTGCCTTGGCTCGCTGGACGTTACTCTTCGAGGATCCCACTTTTTTAGCCACGTCTCGAACCGAAGCACTTTTCTTGCGAGTGAAAGCTTGCACGATTTTCCGGTCCAGATTTCGGTCAACAGGGTTCGGTTTACGTCCAGATTTTTGCTTGTCCTGGGAAGTTGCTTCATCACCATACTTCCGAATCGCATTTCGAACGGCTTCGATGCTTGCAACTTCCAATTTCGCTAATTGACTCAGAGAAATGTTGGGGATAGTACACCATTTGTGCACGATCTGTTTGCGCTTTTCCGGAGAAATGGTTCGCATTGTCACAGAAATGTAAAGAACCGACATTTGTGATACACGTTTTTTTTTCCTTAATTTGATTCCGTCGATCTTACTTTCCGTGCTGAGCACCAAAGCTACCGAAGCCATGAAGGCAGTTCCAACACCTGGATTCTACCTATCGACCCATCTCATGAACCGGGGACCAACGGCTTTACCTCCGTTCGTGATCAAAGTTTTGCGAATTGCTTTCAAACAGTTTTGGAATTCTGTCGATTGGAATGGATAGAAAAGCAAGCAGCAAATAAAATAAACACATCATATGAAGCTGCTGACAAGAATACTCAAATTCCCCTACTGAGTGAGTAAATTTTCAGCTTTCATTGTTTGCCCATAAACGATTTCTGCTCAACATAATTGTACATTTGAAAATTCTTTAACCTTGATTTGTTTCCTCTCATTCTTCTCATTCCAGATGAATCTATTTTGGAAAACGCGTGAAAAGTTGTATATAGACAGTATATGTAATGATTCATGGAATGGCATTTTCTGGATAAAGCACTCTCGTGTGATATTGCCTCGCAAAATAAAATTCCTTTCACATTTAACTGCTAACTGAGAGTGTGGAATAAACGAGATAAAAGCAGCGTAGGTAATTTCTGACTCACTTGGCACAGAAGGAATAGCAGTCATGCTAGAAATGGTTCTATATAGAAGAGAATATGTAGGGATAAGATCTAATTTTTGTCATACTAAGCACAACCCCATGACTTCTAAATTTATTTGCCTCTCCATACGTACCGTTAGATTTGATAAAGAGTCACATTCCAATTCCGTCATACGAGTCTTAATTCCGTTCAAACACATTGAAACGTTTTTGGATTCAAGTCGCCTTACACTGAGGCAAATAAACTTAAGAATTTTATAAGACTCGACTTATGAATGACACTTATGAATTTGTGTCTTATGAATGTTCTTCGTCTAATAACACCAGGTAGCACTCATACGCCTTTAAACATTTCATTTTCCAAAGCGTTGAAAGACTTGTGGTCAACACACTGGCCCTGTAATCTCAACGCCCATGGCTCGGTTTCAGCTTACTCCGATTTATTATTTTTTTGTCAACATTATTTTTCATAACGCAAATCAATGAAATTCATAACGATTTCGTGTTTTAAATTAAAATTCTTATGGAATTCTTACGTTCTTTTGCCTCAGTGTACGGATACAGGCAGTAAAAAAAATGGATTCGCTAGGAGCGCTTCTTTTGTTTTTTGAGAAGAATGGATGTAAATATTCATATTATGCGGTCTTTTAAGTTTATTTTTGCACTGAGCTATCGTACCAAACGTTTGATTGATTTATTCCCGCCGAAATCATTGATATATTTGATGTTTCTGCTCGATATGACGGAAATGGGCACTTATGCTGAATTAGTTCTCTACCCTATTGAATAGATTTCGACTATCAAGGGTCAAGTCAAAAGTAAAAGCCATGCAAAAGTGAAAGTCGAAAAAGAAGAGAGCTTAGAAAAGTTGAACGGTTGAATGTTGGTGAAAAGCAGCGAAAATGACGTAAATAGCATGCAGCTTTTCTCAGTTTGCCGAGCTTACGTTCAGTGCCGGTAAGGGAATTGGTTTTGAAATTTGGACGGCCTCTCCCGTTCGTGAGTCCATTTGCGCGTACATCGTCGGACATTGGAGGCAGCTAAAGCAATAAGTTATCTAAACGTTTGTTTTCGTTATTATGTTTTTCACACTTCCTCACAAATAAAGTGTTTACCAAGGCGATATACACATCATACTTACGTAGAAGCTTTTGGAATCCTTTTTGCAGTTTGCTTTGGTGATACAGTTATCCTGCACAGCTTCGAATACTCTTGGCATCGATGCTATCAAAGCCAACGTCACACAGGGATGTTTGTCCGATTTCAGTGCCATAACTTCAGCTGATCGTTCCTCGTGAGTTGCCATGGCCAGGGCTGCTTCCGGGTACTTGTAGTATATGGCATAGTCTATAGCACTCATATCCATGTAATTGTGGAGCAGTTTGCAGCCCAGGTTTAGCAGTAGCACTACCGCGTTTGGTTTATTTTCCATTGTTGCCAAATGGAGAGCAGTATTCTGTGAGATTAGTGAATGGCAATACATAAGATTCTATTGATGTTTTTTTGAAATACAGTTATGACATCGAGAGACTTGATAAGAGTAATGTATCCTTCTGATTCAAAGGCAAATTGTTCAGGATTTCAGTCGTAGAATGTCATATTTTACCACAGAAATAGATATTAAAACACAGAAACGTGACCATTTTTACTAACGAAAATTAACACATACCTATCATATTACACAAAAGAAATATACGTTTCTGTCTGTTTGTTTCAATTGTATCAATATACTTAAAACACATTTTCTGCTTCTTTTGATAAAACTTTTCATCTGGCACTATACGCCTGCTCTCAGTTATTTAACCTCTCTTTAATTGAAGCTTTCTAAACCTATAGGGGGACTGGACACACTTGATCCCTGGGGATACTTGATCTACCATTTGTTTCTTGAAATTCTAAAGGTAAGTTTCAACAATGTTTCGTCTAGACGGAAGGTAATGTTATGGTGACATTTGCGATAGATTGTGAAACGAATATATTTTTGAGAGCAGTTAGTATGTTTTAACTCCCTTTTTATAGCCAGCATGGACATTCCTAATAAAATTTTAGCTGTGAATTAGAAGAATCGATTAAAATCATTGAATTGGTGCTGTTTCTTTTGATTTTTTGTTCAGTTTGATATAAAGTTGAAAACTCAGTTAGGGGACATTTGATCCCCCAAGGTTTACACACACTTAAACCTGATGTATGAATGTGAAAAAAATAAAATAAAGGGGAGGCTAGGGTGGCCCAAAATAACACAATATCTGGAAATCCTGCACACTACTAAAAAGACATGTAAATTTCAGTGCCCTTAGACCGACACATGCAAGCGGCCCTTTCGACATAAGAATCAGTTGAAAAGGACGGGAAAATCAATTCAATCAAACGCACATTTCGTCGAGTTAGATATGCTTCAGTTTCAGGACACTTAATTTTACATACCATATTTGTTTACGTTCCATGATTTACGTCAAATCTGAATTACGTCTCGTGTAAAAATAATAATTTCTTAGTGTGTGGGGTTCACCCTCCAAATGATAGCTAAGAGTGATTAAAAAAATGATTCGTATGGCCATAACTCTTCAAAACGTGATTTAGAGGTAGCCCCGATGAGATTTTTGATAAAAGTCGATTTTTCGTACACACTTAAAAAGAATCATGTAAATTCAGGTGCTCTGAGAGTGACATATACGAGCGTCAATATTGACATAAAATTGAGTCATAATAGAAGCAAAATACAGCTCAATAAAACGTACTTTTCGTCGAGTAACGAACTTTTCAGTCTCGGAGCACTTAATTTTACATGAAATTTTTGTTTACGTCTTATCCATTATGTCAAAGATGGATTCCGTCACGTGTAAAATTAGGTATTTTTAAGTGTGTAGTCATAGCTGAACAGGACTAAACTTTAGGACTAAAATATCTCGATCGAACGATCAAACTCGTTCAAAGGTACAGCTTAACCACACACGTAGAAATAACTAATTTTACACGTGACGGAATCCTCGTCTGTTATGACTCAATTTTATGGCAAAATTGCCGCTCGTATATGTCAGTCTCAGAGCACCTAAATTTACATATTTTTTTCTAAGTGTGCAAAGTACATTGGGAAGACCAATTAAAAAAAAATCATTCTGGCCAGTCATCGGTAAATACCATAGTGTAAATTTTAAAGATATCCAAGATGTTTCGCTGAATAACAACTGGCAAAAATTAACTTATAAAATATCACCAAATCTTTGACTTTAGATCAACCATTTACATATACTATTTTGGGACAACTTTAAGTTGTAAATAAAAATAGTAGCAAGCGAACATGATAAGATTTTGTTTCTTTTTTCGAAATTAGAAATCCCAATATACTTTGAATTACTTGGACTCTTAAATGAGTTTGAGCTAAACACCAATACATATGTACGGTTCCACAAATCTGCCGCTCAGCTGGTGGTCCGATGTAGTAACCGGACCGAGGTTTCCACCCTCAGTCACGGTTCCACGAATCTGCTACTCCCTCTGTTGGCCCACTAGTGCCGCTATCCCATTTGCTGGTGGTCCTTTACTGGTTGTCCGTTCTCTCCACAGTCAATTTACGAACCAAACCGGGGGTTCGTGAATCGAATTAGTGCGTAAAAAAGCTCGTTATTTGGGATTTAATTCTTTAAAAAGCCTCGTTATTTGGGATTTACTTCGCAAAAAGAGGTTTTTGAAAATATTTTCAAATACACCACAATATTGGTATTTTTGGAATCGGAGTAAAATGTAGGAATCACAAATCCATATCTGACGCCATTTTGGAATCCAAGATGGGCGGGATTCGGTTACAGAAATACCTTGAAATACCCCACAATATGGGTATTTTTGGAATCGGGGAGACGTGTAGGGACCGAAAATCGATGTCTGTCGCCATTTCGAAATTCAAGATGGCGGCTTCGGGTTTCAAAAAATTAAAATAAATACTGTTTAATAACCCACAAAATCAGTATTTTTGGAATCAGGGTGACGTGTAGGAACCAGAAGTCTATGTCTGACGCTTTTTTTTAAATCTAAGTTGGCAGCATCCGGTTACAGAAAAACTGTGAAATATTGTCAAATACCCCACAATATAAGTACATTTGGAATCGGGGTGACGTATAAGCAGTGTTGGGAAAATATCAAAAAATCAAATCTCACCAACGCCCAAGATCATGCTTGATTTTCGTAGACAAAAATCAACAAGCAAACAACTGCGGTTGATTTTGCAAGCTGTGATATCGCAGCTCAGAATATCAAGCTAACAAAACTCACCAACTGCAAATCTCACCAAACTGTGGTGAGATTTAGTTTAATGATTTTTGCTTTGCACCCGAATGCAACAAAAACTTCCATAACGGCTTGCAGCAGTCCCTTCCAAGGTTGCAAACACTCATTTCAGTTAAAATAATATTTTTCGGAATTATAAAACCAAAAGATGGTATGATGGCATGTTTTACTTGTAACTTACAAGAAGAGGTTACAAAGTATGCGTTTGAAACATAAAACCTGTAAATTTTGCTTTCTATGAGTCACAATCAGCGATTTTGTGATCGCTGAGTGAGTGAGTGAGTGAGTGAGTGAGTGTGTGAAAAATCGCTGATTGTGACTCTCATGAAGTGAAATAAACAGGTTTAATATGTCAAATACATTCTTTGTAACCTCTTCTTGTATCCTACCAATTCAAAATATGATCATGGCATCTAATAATTTCATAATAAAAAAAAAACATTGTTTTAGCTGAAATGAGAATTTGCAACCTTGGGGTCGATAGGTAGGGTCCAGGTGTGGGAGCTGCCGTCCTGGCACGTCGGTAGCATTGGTGCTCAGCACGGAAAACAAGATCGACGGAAAAAACAAACCAAAGGAAAAAAAATCGTATCGTGGTGCGAGATTGTGCGCGATGAAAAAAAAAGAGCTGCAGTATTTCTCGTTTACTCGGAAGTTTTCCACCGGTGAACCTGGTAATGGGCTGACCAATCAATCGCTTCTCCGTATCACTTCTCAACTCCATGGCACTATTGTATCCAGAGATGACAGCACAATATGTTTATAAACATTGAGGTAAAAAAAATCTGACAAAGCATACTATGAAATATGCCCTACCAGCATACCTGCTTTTCTGCTCAAATCAAAGTTTATCTGCAATATAAGTTCCGAAAGCCAATTTTTTTTTCTGAAGCATCAAATTGACTTGCAGTCTTCTCAACAAAGTTGTTCATTATAGTTTTAAGTATAACATATTTTATTTTCATGCAAATCGGTTAATTAGGAAAAAAAGTAAGAATGATTTTAGTGGGTCATCATTTTCTCCCATACTAATTTGACGAAAATCCCGAACAAAATTGAAATCGTTGGCGCGACCTCTTAACGTTGACCAATTAAGCTGATTCTTTGCACAGATGTTTGTTTTTGTGTTATGAACTGAACTAGGGGGTGGCCTATCAAAAATATCAATCTTTTTCCAGAATGAAACACCCTAGTGCATACACGTAGCAATAAATTAAATTCAATGAAATATCAATTAAAACACAGATGATTTCTACTGTGACTAAATAAAGCATTATATATTATTAAAATATCAAATGCTGTTATAATTAGTTAAGAGCAAAAAAAAAAAATGATGATGATGATGATGGTCCCACCTCTTACCCCTACAAAGGTTTGAGCTGGACGATTTATCTTTAAGATAATTGAATATGACATTTTAACCAGGTTGGCAAACAAAATCGAACTGGTTTCAGTTACAGATATAGATTCCCTCTAAAGTTTACAGTTGCTTCACAGCGATATAAATGTGGAAAAGCTCAGGCGTCCACCTCTTAGTTCACCTTTTTGTCCACCTAAAATATTCATAAGTATTACAAGCAATCAAGAGTTAATGAACAATCAACAAAGCATCCTATTACACTAGTAACCCCGCAATCTGATGCTATCATAATTTTCAGCAATGTCAGGAATGCTCACAAACCCCCAACATTTGCCAGAAAACTTACTACTAACTCAAAGTATCTTCCAAATAAGCTTCAAAATTGCATTTTTTTTTTATCAAATGTTAAATTCAGTCCTCTATATCCGTAATACGCGCGCGAGGCTCAAACCTTTGTAGACTACTTTTTTTTTTAATTAATCTACTATAAAATCATATATTAAAAATCCATCATCACCCTCGTGGCGAACAGAAATAGTTTTTGCAGTGCTACAATAATTATAAAAAAGTCGTTATGACAGCTATCCATATAAAATAATCCGTTAGAGATAACTTCGTCAAGATACATAATTTGTCAATTCATAAAAAAAATCACTGGATAACTGTTCAAAAGACAGTTTTAACGTGTGAAATGCAGTGTCTCTTAAATTCTGTAAGTGTTGCTAAACGTTTGATATGTCTAGGCATCGAATTGAAAACATTTATTCCTTTATAATATAATGAATTTTGTGAAGCACAAGTCAAGAAATGTGGTGTTCTTATTTCAACCGCGTTTTTAGTATTATATCTATGAAAGTCACTTCCTCTTTCAATTCGATCACACAAATATCGAGGCAGCAAACCGTTAACTACTTTAAAAATGAACACCATAGTCAAATATACAATTCTTTGCTTCACCGACAACCATTGTAAGGCGTCTAACATCAAAGTTGAGGAAGTGAATCTACTACATCTCAAAATCAAACGCATTATTTTATTCTGCAAGCGCTGTAATCTCGATATTTGTGTTGCATTGGCCAGAAATAAAATGGAAGGGCAAAAGTCAAGATGAGGAGAGATGATTGATTTGTATAGCTGTATTTTACTGGCAATAGTTAAATCGTTTTTCAGTCGACATAGAATTCCATACTTCTTGGCAATTTTCTTGATGACATTGTCAATGTGAGAGTTGAACTTAAGTGTGTCATCAATAATCACGCCAAGATATTTAATCTCCCGAACGCGATCAATAGTCTCATCATCAATTACAACAGAGACGTTCTTATTTACTCGATTCCGCGAAATAACCATAAATTTAGTTTTACTTGTATTCAATTTTAACTGCTTATACTTCAACCATCTACTTAGAGAACGCAAATCTTCATTCAAGTGTAAAACGGCATCATCTAAATCCTTAGCTGCAATGAATAACACAGTATCATCTGCAAAAAGATTAATGTCGCAAAATCGTAAAACACGTCGCAAGTCATTAATATACATAATAAATAACAGGGGCCCTAATACACTTCTTTGAATACGGCGATGATTAATCTGTTAATATGCTTTTACAAGTGGGTTCAAGTGCACTTTTGGTAAGCATCGACACTGATCTGGCGACATTAGTGTGCGTTTTTCCAATGTGGTAAAGGTCTGGTAGCCTAATTAAACTACCTCAAGGTTTTCCCAAAGCCCAGGGAGGTATCTGAGAATAATTTCTAAATCATTTGGAGGGGAATTTCACCACAAGCAATTGAATTTCAAGGTAATGTGACAGTGTGGTGACTTCATACTAAAGCCGGTTGAATTTTTTTTTTACATTCCAGACTTGAAATGTGTGTAGATTATACTATACACTCACTTTTTTTTTACGCGATGTTTGATAACGTGATCTCAAATTGCAACAAAACTTATTACAATTTGTTTAAAATAATTGCATAAAAACGAAGAAAAATATGGTGATAGTGAAATTTTGGTAGTACGGTAATTATGGAGTAATACGAAATTAACTTAACTAATATCTCCTTAGTTATACCACAATAGATATAATTACTGGTCACAATAGATTTATGTCCCGAACAGATTGAAAAAAATACCAAGGACTGGCATATCACAAATGATCAATGTCTTGTTCGGTCAGTGTCAATGAAATGGAATATTGAGCTTCAAATTTTTACAAAATGTTTTTCTTAATATCTTTTGAATTTAGTTTCCTTGGAATTGATATCGGAATTTCTTTGGAATACTCACAACAATCCCCATAACATAATCTGTAGTACTTTGAATTTTACCTTGAATTTTTCTTACTTTAAAAAAAAAAATCCCAAAATTACCTTTAATTTGTTTTCTTCAATATTTCTCTGCAACTATCCGTAGACATACTGTTACAATTTTTCCTCAAAACTTATTTGGAATTCGCATAAAAAATAAGAAAATTTCGAAATTCAAGTCCAAGTGCAAGAGTCTGGTATATTCATTTTAATCTGTGATCATATTTGAAAATTGTAAGTTTTTCGAAGGCTGTAATGACGATGTTTTTCCATAAATCCATGAATCTAGAAATATTACCTAGCTTACAAATTTTGAACGATTCGTCTGTTCCAAAATCTTGATCGTTAGATCGTTAGATCGTTAGACTAATTAGATTCGAAAACCTTCTAACTGGAAATCTGATTTGTTATGCCTTGGATCTCATTGTTTCCTATAATAAGTTCATTTATTCTTCATTTTCCATTTTCGGTTAGTTCCCTTCGAAAAATTCTGCTATTGATTTTTTAAACATTTTAACTGTTTATATTACACAGTAATTATATGATGGGCAGTCGAGAAAACCCGGGCAAACTGGTAATTTGAATTCCTGAATCCAGTGACCACCTTATACATCATAATATGGATATGGACATAGGTTCAATCGGCATTTAGTTTTCAATTTCTTTCGATTCTAGAATTCGGATAATCGATGCGTTTTTGGGTGTCCTTGCATTTATATCCACCAAAGTGTTTACCGTAAACTAAATGTCAGACCCATAACCGGAACTATTTGCTTTGAGATTTCAGAATTCATGCATAAGAATCTTATTAGTATCAATTATGTTTACTTACCCCATCCTTGTCCACTTGGTCAAGCAAATGCGAATGGACCGAATGCAGTAGCTCAATCGTTTGCGTGTACCCTGACATCGCTGCCAGATGCAGAGGATTACGTCCATTGTGGTCCCTATGGAGCAGAGCACCCCGATTGAGCAAAAGCTGCACTACTCTCGTGTGACCTTCTTTCGAAGCAATGTGAAGCGGGGTGAGACCTTCACCATCACTTTCGTTGATGATAAATGTACCTTTCTCCGAGTCCAAAAGCTGTCGAACCGTATTGTAGCGACCATAACGGGCAGCAAAGTGGAGGGGACTTTCATTGTTATTATTTTTTAGGTTAATACATGCTCCAAGGCGGATTAGATTTTCAAGCGATCGAATATGACCCTCCCTGCTGGCGTAGTGCAGCGGAGAGCATCCTGTGTCGTCTTTTTCGTTAAGCAACTGTAGCAAGTATATTTCCGATTGAGTACAACTTACTTCTTTCGCGAACTCATCCAATCGTCCTCCATTCATAATAACCAAATGTAACACATTTCTACAGTTGACATCCTTCAAGCTAATGTTGGCTCCTAGGCGTATCAAAATCATAACAGTTCTCCATCCACCGCGAGATGCCGAAAGAAGTAATGGAGAGCGGTTTTCCTTGTCTAAGGCATTTATATCACCTCCTTCTTGCACGAGATATTCCACGATTTCCGGATGATCAAACATAGCTGCACAATGCAGCGGAGTCATCTTCTGGATGTCGGTACAATTCAAGCTGATACGTTTCTCTTGTGGTTGCATCAGAAACATCAGTTTCACGATATCAATGGCACCCTAATTGGATAAGAATTCCTGTAAAGTCTGATGGGAGGAAAAGTGCAGCCGATCCCTACCTGTGCCGCAGCTAGATGAACTGGTGTTGAAAGGTCATGCTGTTGAGTGGAAATTTTCGCTCCTGATTTAAGGCAAAGTTCAACCGCTTTAATATCTCCACCATGAACAGCAGAATGAAGCGGGACGTTTCCCTCGGAATCGTAGAAGGAAATCATTTCTTCGCGTGTACAACCTTTAGATTCTCCCCATTGGAAAAATACTTCCATTGTTTTAGAGCTAGCATTTTTGGCTGCCTCGTGTATTGGATAGTAGCCGTTGTTACACGGCTTACGGGGACACGCACCGAATTCGGAAATCTGCGATGTATTGATAAACAAAACTCAAGTTATAAAAACAAAACATCTAACAATGTCATACTAACGCTTACCAGAATTCTGGCACACTCCTCGTGGTCGTAGATAGCAGCTAAATGTAGTGCGGTTCGACCGTGCTCACCTCCTTGCTGTATATCGATGGTCTCCCGGTATTTTCCCATTACTTGCAGACATTTAACTTTGTTTAGCTCGGTGGCTAGGTGTACCGGAGCCAGTTTCTTGTCATTTAATGTGTTCGTAGCGACTGGTCTAGTGAAGAGGAAAATTAAAAAAGAGAAGACATTCTTGAGCGCATGAATTTAAATTAATTTTGGATCTATATTGGTTCTATTTTTGTCAAATTTAACATTAGAAGTGGAATGAGACAATGGTGGCCAGACAATCTCGTTATTAAAATAACACGGTGTTACACGACAAAAAAACTTTTCATGTGACCTATTGAGGTTGTTAGTCTAGTCAAATGTATATACCATGAAATCACATTTGAAATTGTTCTAACACCCCCAAAATTTCAAGTTATTGTTGGTAAATCGATTTTGGGTAAGTGATAGCATACTATGGCGAGTAAGTAACTCAACAATTTTTCAACCGATTTTTGATTTTTATACGGTTTTGAAATGCTAAATGTCGAAATATATACACGTGTATGGTGATTTACCTGACATTCATTTTTCTAAATAAATAGGATTTTTGTTCAAACAAATAGCATTTCACTAACTTTAGCCACCATTGGAATGACGTAAACCTGATGCTATTATGATCTAGGAAACGTTTTTTTTCCGAAAAAAAAGATTTGAAATGATCTTAAAAAACCCAACATTCTTTAAAACAGTGATAAGTACTCAGTTCTAACTTGTCAACATTTTGAACAACCAGCATTACTAAAAAAAAATTCAAAACGGATTCATGGAAAAGAATCAAGGCTTCCGGACGTATAGTGAAAATTCTTGTTAAACTTTGATGTGACGTGGCGTCACAGCTTAGGGATGGGTCCTTCACCGTTGGCATGTTGCACAATACTTAAGAGCCGGGCCGTCCCTGTCTTTCTTTGCTATAAGTAGGAGCCATTTTCGTGGAATTACTATTCGATGACGCCAAAAAAGTTGAGCATCGGGGTCCCACACATCTCGATTTGTACTTAGCGAATGTAGAGCATACCCTTACGCGTCGATTTTTGCCTCAACATCGATGATCAGACCATCATTGCCTGAGCCAATTACCGTGATTGCAAAAGGGACCCCTCAGGCCGTACTTGCCTTCTCAGAGCTGGTTGATATTAATAATTTTTTTTTGTCCAATCGGTACATGCCTGGGCACCTCTGGCATGAATTTAATTATTATCTAATGTAGTTCGTCGTAGGGAATATTTTAAGTGATGGTGTAGCTGACCCACCTGACCTCTTCTGGTTAGCTTCAACAGGCCGAATCAAAAAAAATAAATCTTGTTGCAGCGGAAAAGCCATCATCATCATCATCATCATTATACGCCCATCTGGTCGGACAAAGATACTCGATCTGCAACAAATTAACCATAATCACAACCTCACTGGATAATATAACGACGTTCAGCCTTAAATAAGGTTCCCAAGTAACAATTTTGGGTTTATTAGGGTTCTGTACATCATGATTTAGACTTGTAGAATGCTTTAAAACTTCAATAAAACTAGCAATGCTCCGTGGGTTGATAAAACAGCAGTACAAAATCTGACGGAAGGTGTGAAACGTAAAGCCCGACAGTTCGTATTTGGAAAATCTGAATCCTAATCAAATAATGTTGCTGTATTTTGTAGTTATTGAACTTCAAAAAGGAATAAACCTTGATCATTTATACAATTACATAATCAGTGTGCACTTAATCATGATTGACAGATTTTTTTTCTTCAGCATTACATGTCAATATAATTTTGTTCATTTAGAGCCGGCCAACTTTATACAATCCTCAAATGCCGATATAAATCCGAAAATTGACTTGTAAAAAGATGCTGTGCATAGTCTTGAAATAGCTTTTGAGAATGCTGATATTAAGCCAGGAGTTAAATGCCAACCCAGACAACTAGAAATCGTATAACAATGTACAGACAGTATAGTAAATTGCTACAGTTTAAGTCAAAATCGCATATAAGAATGGCATACTTCGCATTATGTTTAAGTTAAATCGTATAGAATGCATATTTCCGACTTATATACGATGACTCATTTTTCCGTCGTACTGAATCACAAATTAAATCAGATTACATCGTGAAACTTTTCAAAATGAATTTGTTATTACAGATTAAATCTTATATGATGTTAAATCAACTCGTTAAAAATTAAATTAATATATGCACGTATATCGCCTCCACTTTTGTACGTATAAGCCATTTCTTTGCATTCTATACGAATTGTTTGTTTGTATATATGTTTGTATATCACGAAAACAACTTTAGGCAGAACGCACAAACTGACTTTCATTTGTGTTTTTCATAGCTTTTACGCAACTTTTTTGTTGTCTTATCAAGCAGCACTTCTAGCATAGCATCTGAACTCAAAATCCTGCATGATAAATCCTTGAATTGGATTAAAAATTCCAAGAAAAGCTCAAAATAAAATGAAAAAGTGCGTCTTACCCCGGGGGTGCGTTATGTACTGTCCTCTCCTACATGCATTCTGGTTGTCTGGGAAACCAAGCAAAAGATTGAATGTTCTGTTTTACCGACATGAAATTCAACAAATGAAAATAAAAATATTGGAGGCTGCTATTCCATCTCTTTCACTCATACCCGCATGCTGTGTACTCGTTTAGATTTTTTTTTATGTTTTTGATTTTAAGACTCGAATAGAGGACCAAAGTTTAGTCATTATTTTTGTACGCCTTAGCCGAATGATCTAAATGTGACCGCTATCTAAGATCCGGGGAATCCCTTAGCTCAGTCGGTAAAAGGGCAGCTACAAAATAAGACTAAGCTGAAGGTGGCTGGGTTCGATTCCCGGTTCGGTCTAGGAAAATGGTTGGAAAATGTCTCGACTTCCCTGGGTATACTGTACTTGCCACAAGGAAGTACATCTAGAACACTAATTTGAGAGTACGTAATAAGTCAATATGCGATAAACAATAAGCTTGAAATGCGAAGAAGAAGAAGAAGAAGAAGTATAAGATCCAGAAATATGATTGAAGATTGATTATAAGTTGATTACTTTTGACATTCTTATCTTTTTTCTTTCTTTTATTTAACGTCGGTCTCTGTTTCCGTTTTTGGATTACCGAGGTGAAGCAATCGGTTAAGTTGTGTGAGTAAAACCCTTGTACGATACAAGCCATTAGTGCTGTCACTACTTGCGTTTACGTTGATTTTTTGGATTACTAATACAACCGTATTTCACGATCTGCTTCACCTCTTTCTGTACCTCATTGCCAATCACCGACGGGCATCGACTGCCATCCACTGACGACAATCGAATGTGCAGGGAGCTTCCACACCTGCGTAGGATATCGCATCCACCAACACACAAGGGTCAGGACCAACGGATTTACTTCCCTTCCGAAGGAAGACGTGACCAGACGTTCTCACCGCAATCGGTTGTGATTCAATCCAGATCCATTGGGATGAGAAGCAATCGCGCTTACCATTACACCACCGGCGCCGGCCCACTGTCCACTTCTGCGGATTTTGTTGTTTTTTTTTCAGTTTTGTGTTGACAGTCGTCCATACATTAATTAGAGGGCTTTAGATTCCATGTGTGAGTAAGTGATGACACTGGTCATTGTTATGCGCAATTGACCTTAAAAGGTGTGTTTCATATTTCACCACATGTAGTTTCAAAGAGCCTAAATGAAATGTGGAGCTTGTGAAGATCACTTGAAGATACGATATGACGGAATATTGATGCTTATTGTATAAAACACAAGTAAATGCTTCCAAATATTAATTAACGGGTGTTCAATAAAAAATGAGAATGATTTCAGAGCCGTCCAGCGCTCTTGTGAGAGCATCGCGACTAAGTTGCGTCGTACGGCTGACCAGCCCCTTTCTCCAATATGCATTGACGTTTTTTTGAAGAATAAACATTATATTTTTAATAAAAAATACTGAATTCGATGAAAAAATTTTTTTTTTTACTAGCTATATGACTGAAAAAATTTTCATTTTTAATTGAACACCCGTTAGGATAATATATTGAAAAATGTATTAAGTATTAGTCAAAAAGTTGAATGCTGTATTGAAATATTTTAAATCGTGTTAAATTTAGATGTTCCCTCATTTCACATCCGTTGAACCATTCTGAACGGCCATTCCGTTGTGATTATATTACAGTATTGCTAACAATGTATATACTAGGTGGGGTGAAAAGTAACCTCCTTGGGAATGAAAATCTTGTTTTTTTTTTAATTCAAAATAGTCCCCTTTTAGCTTGATACACTCCTACTTTCCTTTATTTAACGTCGGTCTCTGTTCCGCAATCTAGTGCCAATCACCGACGGACATCGATCGCCATCCATTGACGGCAATCTAATGTGCAGGAAGGCAGCTTCCACACCTGCGTAGGATATCGCACCCATTCATCAACACACATGGGCCGGGACCAACGGCTTTACTTCCCTTCCGAAGGAAGACGTGACCAGAGATTTTTATGCCTCAGAAAAATCCCACCGACCAGCTCGATACACTAATTCCAGCGATTTTCCAACTTCATGATCCCGCCGAAAAGTAATTTTCCGGAAGGTCTGCAAAATACTCCTCTGCGACGTCGATGATTTCCTCACGTGAGCTGAATTTTTTATTGATGAGCCATCTTTTGAGGTTTGAGAAGAGATAATAGCATAAAGATAACTCTAAGACCAGAAGGTTCCGAAGAAACGAGCTCAACTTTTTGGCTCAACTCTGATACTATCTTCGGTTCCAAGCTAATCGATGCACCCCTCGAAACATTAGAAAATCCACGAACCCCTCATTTTATCTGTCAAACTTTCATAGCGAATCAAAACAAACATAGTGTAGTACTGGAAATTATAATAGAATGGGGTACGTTAATCGATTTGCTTGGGACCAGTAGGCTAGTCAAGTAGTGAGCTAATTTAAAATCGTTAGTTTCGAATTGATTGTTGATAATAGTCTGAGGGAGCCAAATCAGGCGAATACGGTGGATGCGGAAGCAATTGGAGCCGTAAGTCATTGATTTTAGCCGTGATTGTCGTGCGTCGGTGTATTGTCTTGCAAAAACAAATTTTTTTCGCTTCATGTGAGGCTGTTTTGCAGCGATTTCGGCCCTTC